AAATCTGGTATCAACACCTGCATCTTGGTCATCCATGCATTGTTACTCTCAAAACTATATTTCATTTATTGTTCAAATAAATCAATAGGAAAGAATATCATTTTAAGGTCTGTGAACTAACAAAACATAAACAAATTAATTTTCCAATAAGTGATATGCTAATTACATTTTATTTTATTTATAGTGGTATTTGAGGATCAACCTGTAAACCTAAGATCTCCGAAGCTTCCATGTTTGCACCTTTCACCATCTGCCATGGATTTTTTTATTTTTCAAAAGAAAGATCCAAAAAATTATCAGGGGAAATTACTTTAACATCTGCTCACATTACAAATAGATTACCTAATAAGACTGCGTGAGTATAAAAGTCCTACAAGTCCTAGCTAAATTGTTTCCCCACTTCAGCACCTCAAATAACCTTATCCCAAAAATATTTGAATTTTGTTCATAAAAATCCCAAAACAGAAATAAACTATATTTTAAAAAAACATTAATACACTTCATTATTACTCCCCACAAGAAAAAAAAAAAATTCATAAATGTTATTTTTTCTCACAGATTGCCCTTCTTTAACCATCATCCTAGCAAACAGCTATATTTTAAAACTAGCCACTTCTATCCAAATCAAGCCCATACTAAAACTAATTTCAACCTAACCATTATGGATAACTCGTATAAAATCATCTAAATCTACAGAAATAATCCACTAAATCAATTTCTACCACTGAACCTGGGGACGGAGCCATTGCACCTACAAATAAAAGGACTAACTTCCACTAAATATCCCTTGGACTTGCATTTATCATACAAAAAATTATTCTCATAATCATCAAAACTTTCTAACTAGCCTGCAAACTATTTATAACCCTAAAATAATCTCTTAGGTTTTGAATCATATGAATCAAAATAATGCTAAGAAGAACGAAATAAAAATTAAAAATAAAATAAAATATGAGAATTGGTAAGAGTTACCAAAAGGAAAAAACAAATGAAATGTAAATGAGTATTTACTGGAGAATACAAATCCATGGTGTTCACTAGCAAAATATAAAGTTAAACTAGTGACCAAAGATTACACTCAAATATATAAGATTGATTATTTCAGAATATTTACTCTGATTGTTAAAATGAATGCCATTGAGTTCTTTTATCAAGTTAAAAAGGCATTATTTGGGTTTAAGCAATCTCTAAGAGTGCAGTTCAAAAGGTTTGTCAAGGTAAATCCTAACACAAACTACCAATAAATTCAAGAAAACCATTTGTTATTTATAAAATATACGACTTTGGAGAATAACTACACACTACTATTAAAGTTGACGATACTATCATGATAGATAGTGACTTCAAAGAAATGAATTTAAAGAAAAATAATACTCAAATAATTTGAAACCAGAAGATTATACAGATGCTAAAATACTTCATTAGCATTGAAGTTGCACACTTTTGACATGATATCTTCACATCACTATAAAAATACATAAAGAAAATTACATACCTACTACATAAGTCTTATGAATTCACATGACACCTAAATTTTGAATATTTATAACATTTTGGTGTAATAAACCTATGCATGTAAAGTTGTATTTCACTCTTAAAAAGTTAGTAAAAGTGGTATTTTTGATATGATGCTAAAAATTTGATTGTCAAGCATGTAAATATGAAAGTTTAGACGTTAAATATGTAAATAGATAAGAACTGCGTGATATGTATTTCACTCTTAAAAAAGTTAGTAGAAGTGGTATTTTTTATATGATGCTAAATAATTGATTTTTAAGCATGTACAAATCAAAGTTTAGATGTTAAATATGTAAATAGATAAGAACTGTGTGATATGTATGTAAATGCCCAGATATATATCATACTTGTTAACAAAACAAGACATAAATTAGAGAGAAAAACTATCGAGGGTAATATGAAGTTCAATTATAAATTTAAAGATGCTCCAGAAGCAGAAGCAATAAAAAATCTCCTATCAAAGATTGATTGGAAGACTTATTAACTTAAAATATATTCAACCTCGGGTTGTAAACGAGTCAAGTCGAGCTCAAGCCACCCTTGGCTAGAGCTTGAACTTCTTAATTTTATAGAATTCGAGCTCGAGCTTGAGTCAACAAGTTTAAGCCGGCTCGCGAGTAGGCTTGTTTATTATAAAAGTTAAAAAATAATAGTAATTTAAGAAAGTGTTATAATAAACTAATAAATAAAATGAGTAATTAAGAGAAGAATAATAACAAGTCATTAAATATAGAATATAAATTATTTTTTAAAATTTTTAATACTTTAAACATAAAATCTTCAAAGTTAATAATATATTTTGAGCATATTTTATATTAATATTTTTTTTTAACAAGCCGATTCACAAGCAAACAGGTCGAATCAGGGCTAGTTTGAGCTTGGTTTGTTAGCTCATCGAGCTTAGTTCACGAGTCACTTATGGAGTCAAGTTCGAGCCGACTCACAAGTAGATTTGACTCACTTACACACCTAATCAATCTAACATTACCTACAAGATTGTTGTGATGATGCATTTTGTGCCTACTCATTACAAATTGGTGCAATATATAAAATTTAAAAATATTTCAAGGGAATCTCATGAAAAAAATTAAACTTAAAAGGGGAGAATTTAACACTTGAAGCACATAGAAACGTTGATTTCGTGAGTTTAATGGTTGAACAAAGATCAACTTCAGGATATAATATATTCTTAGCAAGCAACCTTAAAACTAGCTATGTCAAGCAAAATTTGTGAATTGCAAAAGAAAAAGTTATCCTAATAAATTTAAGGGTTGAAAGAGAAGGCATCATTGGGCTCTATCTTGATAACAAATCAATCATCCATATTACAAATAAAATCGTATAAGATGAATGCACAAACATATGGATGTTAATAGAAATTTTATAAGGAAAAAAGTCCGCCAACGGTTTAATACATATTCCAATCAAAGCCAAAGGAGAACAATTTACTTATATCTCACAAAAGATTATCGAGGGCAACCTTTCGAAAATTATTAGTCAAGCATCGAATGAATGAAATCCATACATTTGCTTGAGTGTGATATGCCTACATAATTTTTATCTAGAGATCCGCCCTCAACCAGATTTAACTCCTAGCCAGCACATGCTGGATTTTCGTCAATTGGAACCAAAACTTCTCTTTCCTGTTTTATTCTGAATGCCACCTTATTGATTTGTGGAATCTCCACAGCCTACCATCAATTTATGGAATATTGTAATTCTTTTTTAATTAATACTTTTAAATGATTTCACACTTTTCCCATTAATGTGATTGCACAAATTTCATACACGTTAAAATAAATACACTCAACTAATTCTCCACAATTCTCATCAGGAAGTAATAAAGAAAAAAATATGGTGCAATGTTTCTTTCAATAGATGCAGCACATGTCCTCCTCGGAAGGCCTTGATTATATGACTAAATAATGATTCATTGCAAATGGAAAAGTGTTTCCAAACATAAGGGTGCTATCATTTAACTTGTTCTCTCTCCAACTTTTGATAAGGACACGGAGCCAAATAGTAAGGAAAACCTGAAACTCAACATCACGGAGTCTCCAGATTTTCAAACTAATTAACAAATTATGTCCCTTCTACTTTCTAATTTTCAATCACCCCTTCTCTTCCTCTACATAGTTTAAACTCCCACTCATAACTTCAACTATGGCACAACAAGGCATCCACTAGAACAAACACCTTTTTTTTTTTTTTTGTTTAATCACTTCACAAACTCAAGAGCTGTTACTTGCATTGCATGAACTTTTTTAAACATTGAAATTAAACCATCCCCTAAAAAGAGTTATTAAAGAAAAATATCATTTATTTTTAAAGATGGGTTTGCCTGATCAATCAATCTTAGTCCATATTTATGCTATTTATGTCATCTTAAAGGTTAGAAAATCCAACCAATACAATTTGTCATTTCCCAGTGTTTTATAATCATTTACCATTTCACTCTTTTAAAAATAAATTTCCTGCTCAGATTTATAATCTAACATAACAATCAATTCTATAATTGGCAGGTACTTTCTATTCAAGGGGCTTCAGATGATTTCATGTCAAGCAATAGTGCATTTGTACTTTGCCTTTACTAATACAATACTTATTTACATATTTCAATATTTCAAAATCAAATAAAAAAAAATCCTAGCATAGTATAACCACTGAAAAGATAGAAGACAACTTTTACTGCAAAGGTACAACAGCAAAAATACAAAATTTATTGTGCCTTTTACTCCACTTCTGATCAATTAGGCGTCTGTCATTTAAAGTAAATGGCTGTCACTCACAAAAGAGTGCTTGAAACAAGTTGAAAGGCTTAATTAATTTCCTCAACGATTTACTAAATTTGAAAAAAAAAATGATAAAAGAAAAGCGTGTAAAACATTTGCCATAAAAATAAAATACAAATTGACATGAATCGCCCAATCGGAAAAAAAAAATTTCAGGAAATATACTGCATTGACCTTTTCAAATTATGATAAAAAAGAATTCATTTTAGAAGTTACCAGAGTAAAAGTAGATCATATGTGGATAAGAATTTAATCATAACGCACTAGGAAAGAAATTACTGAGGTGTTGTGATGAGAGATGAACTTTGGTGCGCAGCTATAGGATTCTACTACTCATTGACGCATATTATAGTAAAACAAAATATCCTTTCCTGGTCTATTTGAATTATAAATACTATTCAAACATGTGATTAGGCATAAATATTGCCGTTTAATAACGATGTTTTACTTACTTGATTAAACTGAAAATGCTAATAAATTCCATCTGCTCTTTCTTTTTTCAAATTTTAAAACGAACCCATTTTTGTGTATGTGCAATTTGACTACTTCAAAATATAACAAACTTAAACAAATTGAGTTTAAAAAAAAAATTGCAAAAATATATAAGGTGAGTCAATCATAATACAAGCGGGTGGCAATTCATTTCTAGAATATTATCAATACAAACATTCAAGAAACTTGTGCATAAACATAAAAGGAATAAGTTCAAACCTGGTTCCTTTCGTATAACATGTGGTTTTTAGTAAAATATTTGTATGTGTCATGTCCTCTAGCAAGCATTGTTTGGTCTATGGGGCCAATGATGCCAATTACTCGAGCAAGCAAAGTAGCGGGAGAATCATTCTGAAATAATACCTGAAAACACAGAAATGAAATATAGCATGCGAGATGATCCAGAACATAAGTTTACTTGGGGACATTTACATACATACCAACCCAATTCCTATGTATTTACATACCTAACACCAAAACCTTGCTTTTTTACACTAATGCCGCTCAAAACTTGCCTACTAAATAAAAAATACCATTTAAAACTTCAAAAAGTGAACACCTTTTCATGCATAGGTAAGAAAGTATGGATGAAAAAAATTAAATTTTAGGTATTAGATAAGTAAACATGAAGAAATTGAGTGGTAACTATGTAAATCTCCTATTTAAAACGAAAGATAAATTGTGGCATGAAAGGTGCTAAATAACAGTTCAATATCATTAATCAGGGAGGCATAACAATCCACTTTATGAAAATGATCATTTCAATGAGGATAATCCATTAGATTAAGAGCTTCTTCCTCGTCAAAATCCTCTTTATGAAGAGAAAAAAAATGAAGCCAGTTAAGTTTATTGCACGCCTGATGATAATACGATAGAAATAGCAAGAAAAGCCCAACAACACCATCTAAATGCCTTTTCTGGATTGGTTGTCAGAGATTAGGGACTTTTATCAAGCACCGCATGGATGAAAAGTTCATCAATGAGCTCAATTTCAGGTTTTAAAATTGGTGAATAATAGTAAGCTCTAAAAAACCCCATCCAACTATAATGAAATATTTGACTTCGCACATGGTTTGGTTTTTTAAAGGTAAAATAAATTTTTAGATAAGAAACAGCCCATATAATTTTTTCATCTAACGAGAACTTAATTGTCTAGTTCAAGATTTCCTACAAGTGTAGCCCTATTGCTAAAATATTGGCTCTACAATGCTTGGCTTTTAATAGTATTAAATTGGTCTGGAAAAGAAAACACATAACTGTTAGCTTAGAGGAAGAGTGGGAGAATGATGACAATCTTTTGAGATTTAAATCGATTTTTATTTCAAATCAAAATAAGCCAGCCAAGCCATGTGCAGATCATACTTGAAAGTAGTTGAGATTGGATCAAATCAAGCTAATTGAAGATCAGATCAAAATGCATGTTAATTTATGTTTAAACACACAACCGATACAAATCTAGTTTATAGAATATCAAAAGATTATTCGCAATTTGCAACTTGGCTAAGCACTTCATTATAAGAAGCTACAATCAAACTGAAAATTTTGTACTCTTCGTCAGCCTTAAAATATTCTTGGGTTTTAAGATCTACTCAAAGTATTAAAAGCATATCAAAATAAACATCAAGTTCATTATCAATTAGCATCAACTGAAACAATTTATGATGTCATAATAATCATAGAAAATCATTTTGTATCATAAGCATATGAAAGGTTTTATTTCTTCCACTTCACCCTTAATAATTGATGTGTATCAAATGTGCAAGTTATTTCTATGTTAGTTTTATCTTTATTTGGTCATTTTTACAATTTCCGTGAATATTTTAGTATTTTATGTATATAGGTGATTAGGTAACTTGGGGGGCAAGGGAGCTAAAATAGAGTGCCTGAGTGTTGAGCTAACACCCCAATGCTAGTCCTGAGAGCCTCAAGCCATAACCACAGGTGCCTTGGCACTAGTACTAGGTGCTTGGGTAATTGAAATAGCCTAAATTTACTGAAAGAGTGGAAACCGTGCGCTCCAGGTCAATGCCTACAAGCCCACACACGGAAAGAAAGTTGTGCACAATATTGAGTCAATTCGGGCTGCTTAAGCGATTAAGTACTGTGATTTTGGACATAACGAAAAAAAAGAGACATAGAGACGAGATATAAGATAGAGGGCAGTGAGTGACGAAGTGAGGTGAGCGGAGAAACACTACAAGCGTGAGTGACAAATATTATGTGTGCGTTTTTCTTTTCTTCCCATCAGTGTAAAAGTTTGCAAGTGTTGAGTTGTAAACGGAAGGAATACCGTGGAGAAAAGGGTGAAATACTCTGGTTTAGTTGTTCCTGCTTATGTATAAACTTTGCTTTTTTTTTCAATGAAAGTTATTTTGTTTTCAATTACCATGTCTCGTCACTAAATTACTTTCTCCCTTGAATTGTAATCTAGGAAATTTAGGCAATCCATGATTTTATAAATTGTACTATTTTCAAGTACTTGTTGATATGTTAATCTTTTGTGCGTAATTTACTTCTGAATGGTCACTTAAAATGTTAAAATGGATTGTGATCTAATACTACGAAAGTAGGCTTAACATACACTATTTTGGGAGAATATGAATATTCCTTCTAAATAGAGCAATTACATAGAGAAATATAGAAATATGGGGGATTTTTGCATGGTTTAGAGAACTAAATTGTGATATGAAACCACTTCTCATGCTTTGAAAGAGATAAAGGAGCCTCGTTCTTCCTGATTGTCAACTATAGTAGATTCAATTGGATGAGCCAAGATTTCTTAGATTCAATTAAAGGAAGAATTTTGTCACCTGTTAAAAAACCTCTCTAATTTAATTTAGTTTTTTTAAAAAAATTAGGATTAGAAACTTTAAAACTATCATAAAAAACTTCTACCTTTCAAACTAAACATAGAATTCGTAGACTAAATACTCAACCTGATTTGAAAGTTAACTCATTTCTTGTGGGATTGATGCACAGACTCAAATCTGTATAATACTGGAGTCACAACAATCATTTTAAAACAAAACATATTTGAGACTCTTGCTTTGGCAAAAGAATTTGATCTTCTTAAAATTATGTTGTGTCATTAAAGATAGAAGGATCTTTAAAAAACAAAAAATAGCATGACGAGAGTAGAGTAAAATATGGGAGATTGTGTGACTGAATTTTGTTCTTATATTTTGTGCAAAATAAGATGTGAAGCTATAAGGAAATAACTAACAATGAATAATATAAATCAATATAAATCTGAAAATTAATCTTTAATTCAAAAATAAAGAATTAATTTCACAGCTAAATAAAATGCTAAAGTCCACAGCTTGCTAGATTGTTGTAGATGAAACATAGATGTTCATAGATTGATAGAATGCTTGATAGAAAGCCAATGTACACAATTTATTAGGTTGTAGTACATGAAAATATGCTCCCCACAGATTCCTAATTATTTCAATACTGCCTGTAAAGCTGAATGTGATAAATGGATCATACCTAACTTGTTAGCTATTTTATCAAAACTCGGTCCGAATAAATTCTAGTGAGGATATCTGCAATTTGAGAGTTTGATGGAATATGATAATGATGGCTGGCCCAAGTTCATTTTTTATTAGTAAAATGTTTGTCAACCACAATTTATTTGCTCATATTGTTGTGGATAACTTTTTTTGAATATATGGCGACCAAATTATCTTAGTATATTTTCAGAGATTTTTCCACTTAATAACTTAATTATTTTAAAAATCTTATTAACTGCATTGTTTAGGAAAAAAACAACTGCACCACCCTAAAGTTAACTTCATCACCACTTCTTGAGACAGACAAATTTTTGCTCGCTCCTACATTTAACTACTGTCCATTAAGATAAGTACAATAAAAAGAAGTGGATCTTTGGTCCAATGTATCTCCAATTCAATCAGCATATATGAAAATTTGAGTTCCCATATTAGATGAATTTTATTTAGCAAGCATTTTCCTTGTGTAATTTTGAGTTATCTTAGAATGTGAATGATGGATTCTCTATTGACTTTAGTAGAGTTGTTAATGTGTTGACTTGTGACAGTAATAGGGAACTCAATATTAGGAGAGAGAGAAATAGATGAGTTTGCCGATAAGACATTGATAGTTGCCTTTATCAATGCGTATGCAATTAATAGTGATCCTAATTTTCTTTGTAAGGTCTAATGGTTTTTTTTATTATTAGGTTTGCATCTTAACATTCATGTTTCTTAAAGTAGATTGAAAAATATAGTTCACTTGCTTTGACCGTGACACTCACATACTAAGAAAGTAATTAAATTTTACAAATCTTTCACCTCTAAATCTATGGCCAAAAACTATTTTAATATGGATAGCTCATCCTCAAAGTAACTTAAAAATAAATATTATCTACATGTGAAATAAGAAACACCTTTGTCTCCTCTAAGTGAGCATATCATAAAGACAATATGGTCAGTTTAACATTGAGTTTATACTTTTCGCTATATTTGGAGAATATATAAAATCAAACACAAGAAGATTGTTTGAGGCCATAATTTATAGAGCTTTTCTAAGATAGCGTACATTCTTTATGTTTCTATGTGGGATCTCATTCTATACATCCTCCTCAAGATCCTCATAAAGAGAAGTACTCTTAATGTCAAGTTGATGTAGAGGCCAATCCACATTTATAATGAAATAAAAAAACTAAAATTATGTTGAGTTTTGCAATATGAAAGAATTTATTGGTAGTCAACATCGTATTATTGGGTGTACCATTTTGTAAAATGTCATGTTTTAAATTTATCCACGCTCTCATGATCTCATCTACTTTATATTTGATTCTAAAAATGTATTTACATCCAATTAATTAATTTTTTGGTGAGAGTTTAAAAATTTCCCGTGTAACATTTTTTTCAAAGACTAGAATACTTCCATTATAGCTTTCTTCTACTCAGAGGTTTTAAGAACTTCATACAAACTCTTTGAAATTTTTATTATCAAGTAGTGGCAAGAGAGTAAGATCTCAGTAAAGACTCTTATAAGCTAAGAAATCATAATTCGGGTGTAAATGACACGACTTCATCTCTTTCCATATGGCAATCAGATGATGAGGGAAATTATTACAACAAATTTATATGTTATTAGAGATTTAAATCATTATCTACGAACTTATTATAACCAATTTATATTGCCTTGGTCCATAACAAAATTCAAGTTCTTGGGTGTGCTAGAAATATATTTAATGATCCCCTTTTAAAATTTACTTTTCCCTCCTAATATAGACATGAAACTCACTATCCATAAGTTCAGCGAATTGACAAGGTGATGGGAAATTGTGATTCCAGTGAAGCAAGGGGAGATTGAATGAGGTGTACTGATATATATTAATTATCCATAGATTGATGAGAGACAACATTCAATGATCAAAAAAGTTCCAAACTTCAAATACATGCTCTTAATTTTCCTACCCTTGAATTTTAAGTTAGAATAATGAGTTTGGTGTCAAAGAAAAATAACGTCCATAGAATTAAAAAAAAAATTAGTGCCCGTGAATAAAATTTATCTTAACTTTGAGTTGGAGAGTGTCCAATAAAGATACCAATGATATATTTAATATATGAGTTGCTACAGTGTTGAGCAGAGGCAGGCCTCGGTTGGGTCCATGAATTTTAGCGCCGCAAACCCCCCCCCCC